CAGTGCAGGCAGTGCAGGCAGTGCAGGCAGTGCAGGCAGTGCAGGCAGTGCAGGCAGTGCAGGCAGTGCAGGCAGTGCTGGCAGTGCAGGCAGTGCAGGCAGTGCAGGCAGTGCTGGCAGTGCAGGCAGTGAGCTCATTACAATCTCTGGGTCATATTTAGCAAATATCAACGCACTTTCTTACACACTGCACTAGCAGAGAGCGAACGCAGCACTGGTACGTCTTTTTTCTGGGCCAAAATGAGTCAGGATGACCCGCACAACGGCAAAAAGCGCATCGTTATTTAGACAATGTTTCTTGAAATCACCTCGCTTCATTCTATAGAAATTTCATTAAATTTCAGAAATCAACCTTGCATTGGCATATGCCATAGTAGCAAAATAAATTATTAAATTGATTAGGCTTTTTAAAATAAAGAAATGTTTTGATAAGTAATAATTTATTTTGAAAAATTAAATGGGTTAAAGCATTCCTGCATGACTTTCAAAATAATAAACTTATTTTAATAAGTAATAATTTATTTTAAAAACTTAAATGGGTTAAAGCATTCCTGCATGCCTACAGCCACAGCAACAGCCAAAGCAGCAGCCACAGCAGCCACGGCAGCAGCCACGGCAGCAGCCACAGCAGCAGCCACAGCAGCCACAGCAACAGCCACAGCAGCCACAGCAGCAGCCATAAGGTCACTGGGTCCGTGGTTGTATCGTGGCGCTGAAAGGCCGCGTTCACCTCGTGGGGCCACGGGGCGGACATTAGACAATGATCCTCTTGTGTGATGTTGCAAAATGATTACAGAACTATCATTATTTTACTATTATATTGTTGGTTTAAATTATTTTCATTTATGTATATTATTATTGTTTAGATTCAACGACTGCTATCTATACAATTATAGAAATCTATATTTTAAACAATTCTACTCTTAACTTATGAGGTACGATAAATGTTAAAGTATTTTTTTACATTATATAATAATAATAATAATAATAATAATAATAGAAATGTAACCGGTACCGATACAATTAATGAAGGTTTTTGCTTCAATTAAAATAACTCTGCAGCTGACGACGAGCAGCGCGCCTGGTCGCTGACATCATGAGCCAGCGACAGCGCCTGGACAACATTCCTGCCGCACCATCACCATCATCACTGCTGCAGTGCAGTCATCACTGCTGCAGTGCAGTCATCACTACTGCAGTGCAGTCATCACTGCTGCAGTGCAGTCATCACTACTGCAGTGCAGTCATCACTACTGCAGTGCAGTCATCACTACTGCAGTGCAGTCATCACTACTGCAGTGCAGTCACCACTGCTGCAGTGCAGTCATCACTACTGCAGTGCAGTCATCACTGCTGCAGTGCAGTCACCACTACTGCAGTGCAGTCATCACTGCTGCAGTGCAGTCACCACTACTGCAGTGCAGTCATCACTGCTGCAGTGCAGTCACCACTTCTGCAGTGCAGTCATCACTGCTGCAGTGCAGTCACCACTGCTGCAGTGCAGTCATCACTGCTGCAGTGCAGTCACCACTGCTGCAGTGCAGTCACCACTGCTGCAGTGCAGTCACCATTGCTGCAGTTATTCATTGCTATGAATAATTCACGTCACTAGTATAATATATAAAATGCCTTATCGTTCTACACCATTACCATACTTTTTGCTAGT